TGATCTCTGTGTGTGTGGTCTCTGTGGGTGTTGTCTCTGTGTGTGTGGTCTCGGTGTGTGTGATCTCTGTGCGGGAGGAGCGGGAGGAGCAGGAGGCGCGGGAGAGGCGGGATGAGACATAGAAAAGAAGAACCCCACACTAAGATGTGGGGAATAACACCACGTGCGCTCCTGGGTGTTCATATTCTTCATAATATTATTCGACAAGGGGATTCCGATGGTTGGATGCAATTCCGACTTGTCCTTCCTTATAAGTTCGGAACAAACAACCTGAACCCCCCCACCTGAAGAAGCGCACCAACATAGTGCACCGATTCTTTCAGGTCATTGACTTCGGAAAAAAAACCCAACTTGCTTTGTTCTTGTTCAGATCTCCGCCCTCCACGCATCAAGACCCTTATGCACCCTGGAGCTCGATCCGGTCGGCGTTCGCCTCCTTCGGTACCTCAGGTCCCCCCACTCCACGTGAAGAGCTCCTCCAGTCGCGCTGCTTCGGCTGCTTCGCTTCTTCCAGGAAGCGCGTTTCAGGTCAGGTCGTCGGTGACGTTTGGCAAGAACCGAGTGAAGATTCGGTGGGTTTGTGCACTTGGAAAGATGGACACTTGGAAAGAGTGAACAAAAAGGACATCCTCGAACCTACCAAGATCTGCTGAAAGCTCCGGAGATCTTCGTGAAATCTCGCCGCTGGTGACCAAACTGATGCGGACCAAACTGGTGAGTTTCCACGTTCATTTTACTGACTCTAAAACTGATCTGCCATCGGCCAAGTAATTTGTCATCTTTGGGTGATCCTAAATGCTTTTCATGCTCCGATGCTTTTTCCGCAAACAACATCTTTGCGTTTGCAGATAAAGAGCTTCAGGGATCAGCGAAGAACAAACAACTCGACATCAATCCATAAAACATAAAAGTTGTATACTACATATTACTACCTTTGTCAAGTTAGTCTCTCCATTTCCAGGTTCATCGACCGAATCTCCCCCTCGCCCGACCGGATCTCTCCTGAGCCCGAGCTCTGCTCGGATGGCGACCGCTGGCCGGAGGGGCTTTTCAGGCGGTGCAGCTGAAAGGCTGGGCCTCAAAGACGAGGAAAGGTCCATCGGAGCAGATCCCTCGGTCTTCGTCCAAAAACACATCGGGTGTCGTGGGCCAGAAATCCAACAGCTTGTAGATCCCAGCAATTGGCTTGAATCAATAGTGATGAATGCCTGTATAATTAGCTTGTACTACTATATGATGACTAGGCCACTAGGCTTTAAATGGATTCTTGGATCAGAACCTCCAATGATATATATCATATTATTTAGCCAATCTCCGAACCTGAACTCTGGGATGCGTTCTTAGGACATCAATGAACACGCCCAGCTTGAGTGGCTATCACGCTGCATAGTTAGCTTCAGATCATCAAACAGTAGTCTCAGTGTAAGATAGTGCAAGGATCCAGGACCTGTGCTGCAAAGCTGCAAAAAAAGTAATTAGTAATATCTACTTAGTATACTTAGTTTATATAAGCAACGCCAGTTGGATCCACTTTGGAACTTGGGGAAATCTTGGGAATCACCAGCGGCTTGAAGGAAATGTCAAACATCCCCAAACCGTTACCCCAGGTCGTAGGAGTCATAGGAGTCAGTGCCACAAAACGTTTCAGGACTTTTTTGTGTCTTTGGGTCCCGTGGGTCATGGCATTCTTGGTGGTCAACCAGGGTGTCCCGGTATTGACCCACCATACAGCTTGGTGTCTGGTCCCCTTTGCGCAGACGCATCGCGTGTACGGCAACTCCTTTTTACACAGCAGATTGTTCTTCATGCCAAGTCTTCCTGGTCGGGAGAATCACAAACACACGATGAGAGACCACCGGGGAGCATCCTTTCCCATTGAATGTTTTGTACTGTGGATCTAATTTTCCGGTCCCTTAGTTTGTAGGTCACGATTTGGTCGAGGACAACATGCTGGCTACCCCTTTTTGAATACGTGCATCCACAGACTGAATCTGGGCAAGCGTTGGTCGTTTCCCGTTGCACATGTCCCTTGTCAGTCGTTGGAACACTTGGAGAGTCAATTTGGGTTCCTTGGTGGATACATCCACCTGGGGGGTAGGAACCAATTCGGTTTCGACAAGAAATCAACGGCAGCAATGACCCTGAGTAACTATGTGTTCAATTAGCCAGTTCCAGGTGGTCATGGGGGACAACTGAGACAAGAACAGGAGACAGTGAGCAACACGTAGCAACTGTAACTGTAACTAGCGCGTCTTCCTGAAAGAAACAACTTCATACAACTTTGTGCTTATGACCAACCTTGAAACACAAATATATAACAACTGGCAAAGCATGACACTAGGAACAAAGAAGCTACTAGGGACTGCTCGCCTTACTACTAGCAAAGACGCTACGTTCGGGGCTCCTGGCCTTACTGCTAGGAACAAGGACGCTACGAACGGAACGAACCATCTCGCTGAAACCGCCAAGGCTCGGCTCAGCCGAAACCAAGCTCGCGCGGAGAGTCGGGTCGTGGAGGGTCGGGTCTGTGGGTCGTGCCTTCTCTTCGTCCCCCAGGGGGTTGTCGTCGCCAAGGCTGAAACCATAGTCCAGCAAGAAGCGCTGGTTCCTAGGGGCCCCCCCACCACCACATGTTCAGCATCAACATCAATACGTCTGCAACCAAAATAGCTGAAACTCTTTGGAATAGAGTGCGCTGGCTTTCCAGCCCCCAAATCTTTTGGGGCGCTGAAAAAATGAAACCAATCCGCCCGACAAATCCATCGTCCCCAGGCAACAGTGCCGTCCCATCGACGAGGTTTTTGTTCACCGCTCAGCCCCCGGGCGGATATTTGCCATAGGAAATACGGACAGCCTGCAGTGACGACTGCAAGTCGAGTCGGAACCGAGCGGTTGCGCCCTAGCATCCAAATACATGACATGTTCACTTTGTAGAACCCCCAAGATCATAAGTATGATGAAGCCTGGGGTGATAGATGGCCGCGCCACCACAACATGTCACAACCCCACATCGTTCAGAAATACATCGACTAGCCACTTCGATCAGCGCCATTTTGCGCTTAGATGCATTCTTTATGGTATATAATATATAGTCAAGCAAGGGGCCTGGTATAGTCGACCACCAGGTCCTGATATAGTCGACCACCTGGTCCTGGTATAGTCGACCAATGTTCCTTGTATGGTCGCTCAAATCCCTTTTATAGTCGAGCGACCCTGGTATAGCCTAGCCTATGCCAAATACGGTCGAGGAAGACCAGGGACTTTGCATTGACTGGTGAGACAAGTCAAGGAAGGAAGGAAGGAAGGAAGAGGTTCGCCTGCTTCAAAGAAGGAATCCAGAATCCTGAAATCCATGAGGACCTTCTATTACATGATGATCACTTGATGTGTCAACCCCGATCGCCGACTCCCCCAAAAGGTCTTGCACCTCGCCGGCGTTCAGGTCTCGCGCGGCGACGAGGCCCGCCGAGCCGTGCTCCCAGACCTGCATTTCGTGGTTCGTGCCGCCCAGGTGGTGGGGAGCATGGGAATGACCCCAAGAATTGATATATAGAAGAGTAATCAGTTCTGATAACTATTAAGATACTATAAGTGATCTCTCCTTAAACTGCTTTCTACTACCATGTTCTAAATGAGACAAACCTACTGCAAAAAGGACAAGTTTGAATCTACTGAGGGCGTGGAACACAAAGAACAGGAGCGTCATTCTGAGACCACCATGTCCCTGTTAGCGACACCGGAACGCCTGTGGGATGACAATTACTCCGTTGCTCTTCACTTTGAAAAAACTCACTCGGCCGAGGCAACTCTCATCAGTTCACAGATTCTCATCTCACTGAAACACCCTAAAACTCTATGAAATTCACAGATCAATTCCCTACTGAATCCCGGTCCTCAAGGCACCCGAGATAGGCTTGAACATCCATCTCCAATTTCCCGGGACCCGCTCCACTGCTCCTCCGGCCAGCCTTTCCATGGAGCACCGTCGCGCGCCCCGTGCGGTGCCCTGGACTGCCTGCCTTGGGCGGTGCCCGGTGCCGCACGAACCTCCGATACGTTGGGTTCCAAAAGGGGTGGGACATTACCCTAGTAGCAATGGCCTCCACCCTAATTCATAGCGATGGCCTCCAACCTAATAGCGATGGCCTCCAACCTAGTTCCAACAAAAGGTGTGGGAGCTCTTTTGGGACTCTCAGCGATAATATGGCAGCTCGGAAAAAAGGATGTGAATGACGACGAAAAATGATGGTTGCTAGTTGTTTCATGGTGAATGGATGATCTAGTTTTAGATACAGTAACCATAAATGGTATCCTTGTGGAGTTTCGATGTCTTGCTGCAAATAACGGCAAGGCACAGGCACAGTACTGAAGGTATGAGGGACTGAAGGCCCTTTCAGCTGGCATTCACCTTGATTTATGAGGCTTACGCCTGACAGCCGGGCGCCGGCCTATTTGGGTTTGGGGTATGTGCAGGGCTGGGTCCTCTCTCTCTCTCTCTCTTTGAGACTTGGTGGGGCCTACAATGAGCCAAGTTAAGCTATCTGGTGCGCATCTTGGCCCTAGGTTGGGCCAAGTTGAGCCCATGTTGTCTATGTTGGGCACATCTTGGGCCCAAGTTGCGCCTATGTTGGGCCTAGGTCGGCCTATGTTAGGCCTATGTTGGGCATATGTTGGCCTAGGTTGGCCTATGTGAGGCCTATGTTGGCCAATGTTGGCCCTATGTTGAGCAATCTTGGAGGCTATGTTGGGCATATGCTGGCTATCTTGAGCCGATGTTGGGGAAATGTGAGGCAACTTATGTCCCCCACACCCACGACATGTCGATTAAGCCTGTCCGCGCGGCACGCATAACCGACACCACGGGCGCCCTTTTAGGCGACGGTCGTAGACGCCGAAGGCCACAAAACACTGTAAAAACCGATGTTTTTGAATATCCTGCGCAAGATACATATAAATCAGTCGACCGGATTTGGGCGGGGGTCGACCGGGGGTCGGGCAGGGGTATACGCGAGGTCCAACAAAAGGGTCGGCGGCAGGGGGCGCGAGCGTATATAACCTTCGGTTACCAACCGAAGGCCTCCGGCAAGGGAACGTGCGCGTGGCCGGCGCCCGGATTTCTAGAAAGAGCAACAGCGCTTACAGTAAGACATCACCAGCAGTTTTGATTGCGAATTCTTACCTGAATGTCTTCTGACCTGGACCGCCCTTAACTTGTTCCCAAAACCCCTCCAACAGGCCCTTGACAGGCCCTCGGTGCTCCAGCCACGCTGAGGTCTGCGTTGGGTCTAGGGCTGTGGTTCGCCAAGTCCTCGATGGGCCGGGATGTTCAAGTCACTGCACTGTTGGCGGAAGAACCAACGGAAAATCATGTGTCACATCTCAATCAAGTCGGATGCTCATTGAATCATGCTGAAAAAATGTCACCATATCATCATATTCCACTCTACTTTTCATCTATGTACAGCTATAAAGTTATTGTATTATGATATATTGTGTATTATGTTTCATTTGTCATATATATGTATGAAGTATGATCATTCCATCTAAGGAGTTCCATGTTAGTTTTCTCGGTCGTCCGAATATTCTTTTCATGTCTGTTCCCCCCCCAATAAATAAGTTAAATATCAGTTAAATTAAGCAGCACCCTCCCAGAAAGTGGTTATCTCCAAACCTACCAGAGCTTCAAATCCTGCCAAAACAAACGTGTCCAGGACTGTCCATGCGTGCCACTTCGGGGCTGGATCATATCGTGATGCGAACTGGCAATCCTCTAGACTCGTTGATTTCAACGGGATCATCATTTTTGGGCACGCATGTTGGTCCCGCATGTCACAATTTCCTGGATTCACTCGCCCAACTCAGTGAGAAGGATCTCTTGACCGCCTGACGACCCAGTTCTCAGAACCCCACCACGCCCGGGATCAGCGCGCAGGCGTTGATCTCTGCGCCCACGGCACGTGTGGAGACCAAGTCGAAGGCCCAAAGGAGCCTAGTCGAAGGCAGTTTTTTTGTTTTTGGAGGTCATGAGTTGGGTGGGTTTGGGTGGGGTTTAGGTCTTTTTGGAGCTGGTGAGCGAGATGGATCGGATTGGGTGGATGATTGGGTAGGCTCCTGGGTTTGTGGGTTTTATTGGTTGGTGCGTTGTTGGGCTGCTTGCTTGGCTGTTTTTCCTTGGTTCGGCCGAGCATGCCTCGCACGAGCTTGGAGTGCGTATCCGATTATCCAGTAATATGACAAAATGCAAAACCTTAAAGGGAACTGTTGATTGAGGGACTAATTTAATGGTCACCAGGCGATGTCAGCCTCCAATCCAGTGGAAGTAAAAGCATTGACATGCATTGACATGATATGACATGCATACTGACATGCATCTGGTAACACATCACATGAGTCGAAGGCTCCTATATGCTCCTATGTTCTGTCCTCTTCCAGGTTTCGCACAACTGCCTCCAGGACATCCGCAACACACCCGGTGAACAGAGGACATCCTCCATGGTCCCCCATTCTAGAGATCCATGGTCCGTGGTCACTGGGTCTTCTAAAAACACCTCATTCGCCCCTACCCCCCCGTTGCCGCATCGCCGCAGCATGGCACGGGAGGCGCCGCCTGTCGGGGTCGATCCGCTTCTTCTTCGCCGTCTCGGTCAAGCGCTCCAGCCTGCGAGCTCGATCAGCTGGATCGTGCAGATGTGCGGCCGAAATAGCAGATGTTGGGACTCCAAAGGGCGTGTGGGACTATTGAACATACTTCGTGACATCTTTGCATGGTTTGTTGACATCTTTTCAAGTGAAATGTTTGAAACATCATTGATTCATTATGTACCATATTCATTCCACGGCCTAGAAATGAGCCACAATGATTCGGAAGATTGGACGTCTCAGGGGATTGACCTCAAAACAGTGGAGAGAGACCCCGAACAAATCGGCTATCCGTTGAACAATCGAGTTCGAAATAGTTCGAAGCAGCCAAACAAGTCCATCATCATCCATCATCAATCATCCGAAGAAAAGAACTGCCAGTGAATCGGCCCTCTGCTTGCCCATAGACAACTATAGTCGATTCCATTATCTTGCAACACAAAGCTCTTTCTACAGCTCACCTGGAACACAACACTCGTTTTGACGTTTTGAGCTAGGCAGCAAGACTTTTTCTCGATCAGAACTAGGGTTTGCCAGACTCCATCCGCCAAAGATGATACGACAAGCCGAAATCATCCAAAACTCTTCACAGTGGCCACTACAATCACCATAATCACTTCTCCAGAAACAAATCCGACCAAGGTCTCTGCTCGAGTCTGGTCTTGGCTCTTCTCAGGCGCTTTCTCCCGGCAACGAGTGGATCGGTCATGGTGCCATACGGCTGTACGGCACCACGAGACAATGAAACTAGTAGTTTCTTGCTACTAGTAGTAACCAGTAATGGCCTCCAACCTACTAGCGATGGCCTCCACCATCCTCCACCTAATTGCGAGCCAAATAGACTATCAAACATGGTCAACTTACCAGGGTTTGGGCCGCCAGGTTTTGACTCAAAGATCTCAAAACCATATGGCGCCCAGAAAACGCTGTGCTCGTGTTTTACAGCCACGAAGTCGGATTCAACGACGATGAGGTCATACCCTTTTACACAGTACATCGATACTTCGAATAGGCCTCGGAGGCTTTGTATCCTTGGGCCGGTTGAGTGCCATGAACTGACCATCCGCTTGGCGGGCTGGCGGACTTGTTGCAGCCTTGCTTCCCCAAACCAAACAAAAACAATACACACCATGCCTCCAAGCAGTTCCAAATGAATGGTTTTCAGTCCCATCCAATGAGTGGATGTTCTGGGCACCTCCATCCTCCAAGTTCAGCACCCTTTTGGAACTGTGCTGCTTCATGTTCGTTCTAAGGCGGTCCACTGCTTCCCCTGTCGCACACCAGTTGCACCCGTCCGCTTGCCTGGAGGACACCTGTGCCTACAGGGATGCACGCAGGCACTCGACTCTTCACCACCGTGTCGGCACGTGAACCCGACTATGCATAGTCAATCATACCCTGGGAATCAAAGACTATAAACAGAATGGTCTCTTAGGTGACCCGAAATGGAAGTTCCTTTACTTCAATCGGTAAAATATAGTCTTTGGACTTCTATAGGGCATGGTCATGTTGTTCTTTAATACGGGGCTGCGAATGGAAACCCGACTTGGTCGTGCGTCGCACTGGGTGGATGCCACCCTTCGCCTCCAGACGGGGCATGCGCTGCAAGTAGTTGTGGAAGCGCTTGGGTGGCCAATGCACCTGGGTTGAAGCCGCCCGGCCTCTGTTGACTTGGCCCCCGGTGCACAAGGGAGAACAGATACTGTAAAGTGATGTCAAAACTTTGTTTTAGGTGGTAACAGCAACGCGGGAAGTTTTTTTGTTGGACATGACATGGCATGACTCAAGAATCTTCTGTCGCACGACGCACGGCACATTTGTTTTCATCCTGTTTTGGATCTGCGGGGCTTCTGCCGCACTTCTGCCCTTCAAAACGCCGCCGACTTCTTCGTAGTAGTGGTCATGCCACAAGAATGCCACCGCACTGGGTGCGTTCGCCGGGGGATGGCAGCCAACAGCTCATTGATAGTATACTCATGTATACTCTATTCTTTCTTGCTCATTTGGCAAGTAGGACCCTGTACAAGCAGCACCCTCCATGCACCCTCTAGGAGATGGAGGAAAGGAGCAAGGCAGTCCTTTGTGCGCCTTCCCGCAACAAGACTGAATGCGAAATGTCTCTTTTCGAGAGTAGCTCCAAGCAGGTCACCGTTGAAAGCACATACTGGCGCAAGGGTTGCAGCCGTCATCATCGTAGTGAACCTCTTGCATACCGCTCCGGCCTGCAGGGGCAAATCCGAGACTGACTGAAACCTCTCAGACAATAGAAAGGAACACTCGCTATATATATATATATATATTGCACATTAAGACTATTTTTTCAACCCCGCGCTTATCGGCCGCAGGTCTTCCAAATTCACCTTTTCAGGCGGCAGTAACCTCTTTCTCTTTTCTTGACGCCCTTGTCGACCCTGAACGACCTCAACATCGCTCTTCTGTACATGCACCTCATCTGGCTCCTGACCGGGACAAGATTGCTTCTTGAGAGAAGCAATCCACACCTTCTCGATGAAGTTGTTTTTCCGATTGAGGAGGCCCACTTCACTGCTCTTGTAGTATAGGGTCGTGTCGTCGCCCGAGACTCTCAAGAACTCTTTGGACCCATCCTCCGATGTAGCGACGAAGGTGCCACGTTTGCGGCAGTGTTTATTGTACAGGTATACGAAAATGCCGAAGACCATGGAACTGCCCAGGATTGATGCCGCAACCTTCTTCCAGTGTTCTTGAACTAGAGCCTGAAGTGTTTGGGGCAGGTCAGTCGGAGCTCCCTGCTCGAAGGTGCCGTCCGAAGCTCCACGTAGGTGCGATCCAACGTTGAACTCTCCTCCCTGGTATGGAGCTTCATGAACAAAAGTTCCTTGGTTGACCCCTGGTCCCTGGGGAGAAGTTCCATAATTGAGCCCTCCTCCCTGGTAAGGAGAAGCTCCCTGGGGAGAAGTTCCATAATCGAGCCCTCCTCCCTGGTAAGGAGAAATTCCATAGTCGAGCGATCCTCCCTGTTGATCCTGGGCTGCATATTGGTAGTTGCCATGGTAGGGAGCGGGCACCCCAGACTCAAACTGGGCGCAAACGCCATATGTGAGAAGCAGCAACCGGATCATTGTGATGATGATCGCAGCAGAACCGGTTACTTTGCCTGCTCGAGACTTCCACGGCTTGCATGATCGAAGGACATACTGACTCACTGCCCAAAAAAAGAAAGCATGCTGAACCTGCCTCGCTCCTCCTGTATAGTATAGTAGATGCCTGGATGAAGACGACTTGTGACGATTTTCGCTCACAATTTTGACTAGTTTAAGGGGAAGTGTCTTTCATCATATGTCACCAGGCATCAATTCGTCAATTGATATGGCTATAGGTCAAAACCGGTGAACCTTGGTTGACCACCGAAGATGAACAGAATAGACTACCAGCTTTCTGGGTTCAAGTACCCTTGAGCTTACGCCTCACGGGGGCCGGGGCCTGTTCGACGGCCTCGCGGCTGTGGGCAGGCGTCTACAGAGTGGACTTCTCCTGTCCACACCTTTTCCACTTAGGTAGATAGGTTCTTTGCATTCCTTTGGATAGAGCCATGGACTTAGATCTGCTTTTGTGTGATTTGGAGGACCCCTGGAGGTCAAGGGCCAGGGCTCTCCTTCAAGGTGTGGGCGATGGCCCAGCTCTCTGCTGGGAGCACTACACGATCCTGGCTGGAACGTTTTGGTCCCAGATGAACGACATCTTTGAAGTCTCCCTCATGCAATTTGTTGCTGGCCAGGGTTTTACTAGAGAGAAGATGACGGAAGCCAAGATCTGCATCCACGATGCTCACAAGCGGTCCCTGAATTTGATTGCTGGCGATCCCTTTGTCTGTGCAGGCCTTTTCACGACTCAGGATATTGGCCTCTGGACTGGTGATCATCGTGCTATCCTCCTGAAGAAGACCATGCCTGTGATTGATGAAGCGATTGAATGTCTGCACATCTTTTCAGGTGCCTTTTCAGGATGGGGCCAAGCTCTCAGCTCGTTGCCGCGGTTTTGCTCCACTCTTCGATTGGGCACGCAAACGTTTGTTGATGTGGATGTTGAAGTCACCGCTGCACTAGCTCGTAAGCATGGATGCAATGTCACGCCTGCACCAGTTCAGGCCAGTGCTGTATTTGAAGTGTCCCTTCACAAAGTTGTGAGGGCGGAAGTGGCTGACCCTTGCCTGCTGCATGTGGTGCAGCCGTTGGCCAACTTCATTTTTACAGCATCACCTCCTTGCATTTCATGGAGCCGGCGAGGCCTTGGAAGAGGTCTAAACTGTTTTGAAGGGTGGACTTTTGTTGACTGTTTAAAACAGTGTGCTTTTGCCCAACCCACGATGTTGAACTTGGAGTGTGTGGACGAACTCGCTCGCCATGCCCACTTTCCAATCATTCGTCGGCTCTTGCATGTCATTGGCTATCGTGCTTTGTGGGAGGGTACTCTCCCATACTCTACCTTTGCACATATGCAACGCACTCGTTGGCTTGCCGTGTATGTCAGGGCTGACCTTTTTTTCGCATGTTGAAAGCCAGACTGACCAGTTTCGTGCATTTCGGTTCGAGCAATGGACTTCTGATGCATTTCGATTCCAATTGCCTCGCAGTCTCCGTGAGAAGATCACCATTCCGCAGTCTACCCAAGTGCTGTATGGACTTCATTCGCTCTTGCCTCCGTCAAAGCGCATCAAAATTGCACCAGATATGCCTTCAGAGGCTATCATTCGCTCGAGGTACTTGCAATCGCATGAACCGGTCCCCACTGTCTGTGCGTCATATGGTTTCCAACATGAGTTACCGAGGTCATGTCTTGAGCAGAAGGGCATCTTTGCTACACTTCGTGAAGGAGATTTTGGACCTGAGTTCTTGGATCCTGCCTTGCTAGCGGGCCTCCTTGGTCTGCTTGAGACCTCGGTCTTCTCCTCCAAGCTTGATGTGCTCTACCGGCAGATTGGGAATGCAATTGCTACACCGCATGCGCTCTTTGTTCTCCTTCAAGGCTTCAAGTACCTCTTCCAGTGGCCTACTGATGTAGTTCAGATTGTCAATGAGGTGTGGACCACCAGGCTTACTGGGCCCAGGACGGTCATCATTGAGGAAGGCAACTTCTACATCTTTGCCAGCACTTCCACCATCATTGATGACATTTGTGTTCGCAGTAAGGTAACATCGAATCAAGAATGCCTCACTATCCACTGCATTCATCAGGGTGGACGAGCTACAGACTTCCCTGCCTCTCGCGATTGGTCTGTCAATGACCTTTTGGGTTGCTTCACATGGGATTTCAGCATCTCTGGGCACATTTATCTTGCTGCGACAGGTGAGACTCTCTCTCCTCGAGCACGACTCTGGCAAGTATTTGACCAGTATCCACAGTGGACAGTCTTCCTCCAAGGCTTTCCGGTTGCGACTATTCAGCTGGCTTCGAAGGCCCCTTTGGTGTGTCCCTCGACGCAACTGTGGCCAAACCCTGACGGCCAGCATTCGAACCAGACACCAACTCAACTCCTCCTTGTCGAGGACCAAGTGCTCTTTGAGGATCGGCACTTTCAGTTTGCCTTGGAGTACCTTGAAAACCATTGTCTGGGTGCTCCTAGCCTTGGTACTGCAGACATGACCATTGCTTTTGGCTCACTCCCGTGCACTATCACCCTGCCTGGGTTCTCCCATGAGGCTGACCGACTTCGCTGCGTGCATGAATTCTGGGCTTTCGCTGATGGGGACTCCAACCAGTTGGCTTTCAAGCTCAAGGATCATAGCCACTCAGCATCTGTTGGACCATGTGCGGTCATTTTCAACAAGTACTCCGATGACAAACTCATCTTTGTTATCTTTGAGAATGGTGGGTCGCTTTGTGGATTCTTTCTGGCTCCCAGCCTTGAGAATTGTTCCTTCGAGATTGACTCCAAGCTTTACATGATTTCTGCCCTCAATGGACAAGAAGTCTCCAACTACCCAGTCCTCATTGATCACGGTGACTTGCTCCAGCTCCGGATTGCAACTGATGTATCATGTGGAGGGCATCATGGCGCCCGTACTGACACACTGCCAGCTGGAGCCAACCTCATTCAACGTGCTGAATTTGCGAGCAACACAGGTGGTTGGCTTGCCACTGATGAGATGGACTTTGCGCTGCGGCAGTTCTCCTGGCTTGCACCGGAATTTGCGGTCATCCACCCAATAGTTCGCTGGAACCTTGAAACTGCGAACCTGGAAGAGAACGACTATCAGGAGATCATGATTGCAAACAACCGCCTCAATGTTTTGCCTATCCTTTCGGGCTCTCATTGGTTGGCTTTTGAAATTCAGCGAGATGGCGCCACCACGCATGTCACCTTTGTTGGCCTTCCTGGACCTTTGCTTCGCTCTGGGTTGCAAGTTGTGGCAAGATTACTTGACATCTCTCCAGATCGCTTGCAATATAGCCATGTTCCTCTTGATGACTCTGCTCACTTCTGTGGCTGGGCGTTGCTTCACAGATGGGCTAATGCTGCAGGCATTTTTGAGCAGATCCCTCACAATGCCGAGCTCTATGGCTCCACCTCAATTGCCATGCGTGCCCTGATTGATGATGTTGTTGAGGATGCTATTGAA